GAGACAACAACTGATATATAAACACAATGTGCTTATGTATGATTGATGATTACTATCAATATTATTAACCGTTATTATTATCATTATTATCAATAATTTCTTATTAAAATAGAAATGTGTATGTTTACGAAATAAAGACAGGAAATTAACGAGGACACTGTTATCGTTTCCAGGCTATGAAATCTTCGTGTGGGCGGTTGGAAAGAGTCAGTCAAGCAGCGCCCAGAAAGAGTTGGAATGCATTGCCACCGACGCCAAACATATATTTAAGATCGACACGTTCAGCAATGCGGCAGAAGTGACCAAACGTCTACGCGCACTTTTTTATAATTAAATTTACAGTCGAACTGAATTTTGCTCAGACAACTTTACGAATAGCTTCCAGACATTTATACTTCTAGCTAGTTATATTTCTATTGCTATTTATCCTGACTAATAATGTAAAGGCATCGTCATAATCATTTGTATGTTATGGCATTTCTTATCATAATGCTGAATATTAGTCTGTATTTGTATTTAAAAAAATTGTGCGAGTCCCGCTGTGTGTTCGGTTAAACGTGCTTGATGCCGATACATCTATGTCTATCTATATATATAACTATATTTTTATTATGAATAAATCTATTCATTTCTAATGTACCATGTATAGTCTTTTTATCTGGGGAAATATTACCGGGGGCCAATAGTTATTATAGAATGATGTCAAAACTGTAGCATCAGAAGCTTTCTAGGGGGTGGTAAAGAACGAAATTGCGTGCCCTCTTCGAGAAATAACGATGAAATATGTAGGACCAGATAAGGCCAAAAGAACAACTGCTCAATTACCTATTCCGTTTATGTGAGGCGGTTAAATTTCACACGTAATGGTGTGATTCAGGTGTGCATAAATGGGTAAATGGGTAAAAAGGGCCATAACTTAACCGCGGTAAAATTATAGCTTTTTTTTACCCAATTAGAGGCCTTGTTACACATAATTTAACCACAGATAAATTGTTTTCACCGCCGTAACTACGCTTAAACTAAGGCCCCTGATTGGAGAAAAAGAGTTAAAACTTAAAAAAACTTAAACGCGGTATAAACAATTATTTCTGAGTACGACGGCCAACCATAGTCGTGGGTCGTAAAGGAATTACATTAATATAGCTATTTACAGCTATTATACTATAGTTACTACTACATTTGCGTGCGCGTAAATAGGAAACACGTACAGTATGAATATAGGATCGACTTTTCTATGCGTCATACGAAAAGTTGATTCTAAACTGCACCGTATTGGGCATTATCTGCGCATGTCTGTGTATATATGTATTTTGATACAAGGAACAGAGATTGCGTTCAAAATGTAATTAGGAACGTGCCTACTTTCTATCTCTGTCTCTCTCTCTCTCTCTCTTTCTCTCTCTCTCTCTCTCTCTCTCTCTCTCTCTCTCTCTCTCTCTCTCTCTCTCTCTCTCTCT